GACGGGAGGACGGGGATGAGGGAGAGAGAAGACGGAGAAGGAAAGAGAAGAGAGAGAGAGAGGTGAGAGAGAGAGAGAGAAGGAGAAGCAAAGAGAGTTCAGAAGCGAGAGCAGAGAGGAGAGAGAGAGAGACGAGGAGAGAGAGAGAATGAGAGAGAGAGAAAAGAGAGAGAGAGAGAGAGAGAGAGAGGAGAAGAGAGAGAGGCGAGAGAGAGAGACGAGAGAGGGAGAGAGAAACGCAGAAATATCGATGATGGCATTGCAGTAGTTAGTAGTAACTACTGACTGACTGATTAGATTACGTGCGGGTTGTAGGTGTTTCGGGGCAGGACTACCACTATCCCTACCATGACATGGTGCCGGGGGACCCCAGCATAGAACTGATGAGGGAGCTGGTAGTGGACAGGGCTCAGCGACCTCCATATCCTGGTCTAGCTGCACACGACTCATGGTATGCATTGCGCGCTGTTCTGCAATGAAATGAGGGTGGGCGTGTGCTCGTGTTGTAAGTAGAACAGATTAATAGGGTACTAGGTTACACGGTATTATCCACCACAGGTTAGTGTATTATTCCACCCAAGCTGGACAGATGATCGCAATATGACGTATAATGGACTCTCGCACTGCTACTTGATAGACCTGATGCACAGTGCCCCTCTCTCTCTCTTCTCTCATCTCTCTCTCTCGCTCTCTCTTTATCTCTCTCTCTCTCTGTGTTTTGTCTCTGTTCTGTCTCTTTTCTTTCTCTCTTTCTCTCTTTTCTCTCTCTTCGCTCTCTTCTCTATCTTATCTATTTATATCTCTCTCTCTCTGCATCTAGTATTATATCTTAATCTATGTTGCTCTCTCACGTCACATTTCTTTCTCCTCTCGTCTCGTCTCTCTCTCTCTATCTCTGTCCCACTCAAATCACTTTCTCTCTATCGCGCTTGCACTACCAAGGGCTTGTAAGGGGGGCAGCTACTGTTAGGTTCCGGGGAAAATAATAAATGAACCTAATTTACCTGACCTGATACCTAAATTACCCTAAAATGAGCGTAAAACATCACGTAGTCACAAATAATCTGCCCCCACTCATCTCACTAGAAATCTAGTGATAAGTCTAAATCAATATCTATAAAAATGCTTATTGATTATTAATTGTTAAAATGTCATGTCGAATTATATTTGATATATTAATTAATGTATAATGATAAATAATAATTTCCTTTAATTAATCGTTGATAACTCCCGTGCAGGTGCTTGCTCCCATTGGCGGTTTGATCAGTGAGTGCTGGGCACACAATGCCATGGCACGTCACACCACGTTTAAGATGATGAAGACGCTGAGAAAAGTTGAGCAGGCGTGGATGACGCCTGCAGCTGCCTGCCCACCTCCCATCGCCATGGCGACGACGACGCGTGGTGATGCTCGCATCCCCACCGTCGCCACGGCGATGACAACAAGTGCGGATTCCCAAATTCTCGCCACGGCAACGACGACGGTAAGTTCCTGCCTAACCTCTGTTCGTTATCAGCTCGCGCGTATCCACCTGTCTCACACGCTTGCTGACTTTGCTCCACTTCGTTGCTACACATTGTTTTAGAACCTAGCTGTCACGCCAGGCGGATAGAGCAATTGGACGCGTATCTAGTCGTACCCACACGACATTTTTCTTCTCTACACATTTTCCTTGCCGTCCAGGCTGAAAGAATTATGAATGCGCTTCTTCCTCCGTACCTACCTGCTATGTGTTGCGTTTATTGCCACTACGGCGTAAGCTAATATTACGCAGGCAAAGTGTGGCGGCGATCCAGCTTCGATCGCTGCGACAAGGGAATCAATCGCAGCATGGCTTCCCGCGGACTCTCCGCTGCCATCAGATAAGACAAAGACTCCACCGTCACCACCTAGTGGAGATATACCTGTACCAGCGCCACCCAGCACGCAACTGCTGGCTCCATCTAGTGGCGTGCAGGTACCAGTGACGTACACGGACACACGGGTGCTGCCCTCTGGGGGAGAAGTGAAGCCCCTCACGCCGGCGCAGTTGGCAAAGATCGCGATGATGAAAAGTAGCGACGAGGATTTGCCCGTAACCAGTAGGGGGCGCTGCGACGATCCCCTCGCCATCACCTTCGTGCCGCGTCTCGCGTCGCAGGAGCGAGAATTCGGCGTCACGTGTGACGAGGTCGCATTCAAGGTCACACAGCGTGATACTAATGTGACCTCTACGTCTACATCCGGGGTCATGCAGCACGGGGTCGCGACCTCTACGTCTGGATTCGCGGCGGATGCGGGAGAGGCGAGCGAGGGGAGAGAGACGTCTGCAGCGGTGAGGAAGCTCGCTGAGCTCACAGCGACACCGGAGGACGAGGAAGATGCTGCGTTGCCGCGGCAACAGCAATCGTCAGATACAAGCGTTAATGTCTGCTGATGAAAGGATCAAGTATTATCTCTAATACAGAGAGAGAAAGAGAGAGAGAGAGTGTGTGTGTGTGCGTGCGTGCGTGCGTGCGTGCGTGCGTGCGTGCGTGCGTGCGTGCGTGCGTGCGTGCGTGCGTGCGTGCGTGTGTGAGAGTGACAGAGAGTGAGAGAGAGTGTGTGTATGTGTGCGTGTGTGTGTGTGTGTGTGTGTGTGTGTGTGTGTGTGTGTGTGTGTGTGTGTGTGTGTGTGTGTGTGTGTGTGTGTGTGTGTGTGTGTG